GTTGGATTAATTTGGATATTAGCCATATGGTAAAAGGAAGTAGCAGTTTTGGTTATTAGATTGAGTTCATCTTTGGAATTTGCAATCCAAAGGATGTCATTCATGTAGACTAGTGCTTGAATCCGGTTTATAGAATCCAGATATATCCGAATATAAAGAAGATAATGGATATTAGTTTGAAAAAGAGAATTACAAATCTGGATTGTTGCTTTTTAAATTTCAAATCCAGTTTTTATCTGGATATAATATTAAATTATCTGCATGTATTGTGTAATCGATTTATCTAATTAAATCGAACCATTATGTGCTATTCATTTCTACTAAGAAGGAGCCGCATAGTAGTTTAGTAACTCGTGAGAACCAAAAGGCTTGCTATAACAAATAAATGACACGTTAAGTGATTAATCCAATTCCTTTTCTAGTTAGTACAATAATCTAATTTTATAAATCTTTTTCCGAGCTCTAAGAGTGGCCCCAAAAATGCAAGTCACATAATCAGAATAGACAGTTATATCTTAATAAACCTCGTTTTGTTATATAATTTTTTTCACAACAATAATGCTGCATGCAAAGCTAGACAATTTAACCATTTTCTAAAAAATTATGCAGTAGTTGTGGCACTTTTATGCGACCCGCACTTTTGGGGCTAGTTCGAGTTGATTCTGATAATTATTGAATATTGCATTGCAGGCTATTATTGTTATCAATGATTGCTATGCAATATTTCTGAAACAATAGAAATTATTCCAAATTCAAGAAGATAAGAAATACGTACTGCATTTATTCATAATTTTTTTTTTAAAAAAAAAAAAATTTACACATATTTTTCTATTAGTTTAAATTAATAGATTTTTGATGCGTTAACTAGCTTAGATATGCCATATATATATGAGTATCGCCAAAAGAAAATATACCTATCTAATAGATTATTATGAATTTCATAATAATCTATTTTTAGATAGGTACATTTTCTTTTGGCAACACTCATATGTAATACTTTTTTTTTTTCTATCAAGTCCAAACCAACAAAATTCAACGCATTAATTCACTTTATTGTTTTAGGTGTCTTTGATTTTTGACATTTTTGGTTTCAGAATGATGAATTCACCGAAAGTGTTTCAAAATACTTTAGTAAACGGTTTTAACCATGGTCCATAAATAAATAATTCTTTATATTATTATTGCACCTTTCAAATTATACATAAAACTACATGTATAATCAATTGCTTATTAGTTCATTGTAAAAGATATATGCCTAAATTCAAACAATAGAAATAGTTTATTAGTAATTATGATCAAAAAATTTTTTCTTTGAATTTAGAATCCATTGTTTTATTCAATAGCTTTATTATTCTGCAATGTAAGACAATATATTGCGGAATGAAGCTAATGCTTTGTTATTAGTTCTATTTAAACTTTGAATATTCTAAAAAACTCTATTCAAATAAAGTTTTTCTTATATATTTTGACAAAATAATAAGTACTAAAAAATGAAAATCCAAAGATCATACTGATTCCAATTCATTACCCAATTCTGATACTAATCCTGAGGATAGTGTTGTTTCTAGTGATGAATCGTTGAGCGAAGATAATATTAGCATGGATCTTAATTGTAATACAGATTATTCTAATGATAGTGACACAGATCATTCTAATGAAAATAATGTTCTAAATCATTCTAATAAAAAATCTAATACTAAAACTAAATTGTGAAAGAACACCAGTTGGGTTTGGCAATATTTTCGCAGAAGACGTCCATCACGAAAATGGAAAACATGTGCAAATTGCACTGTAATTGTAAAAAATAAAAAGTCACCAAATGGATGAGAATGTGGGCAGTTAGTTAAGACTCAGGGTTCAACAGGCAACTTTCAAGCACATTTAAATACGCATGGAATCACTAAACCTATCAAAACTATTGATACACCTGCGCAACTAACAATTACTGAAATGTTTTACCATGCTGCTGGACAAAGTACTCATCAAAAAGAATCTATTGATCATGCCTTAATAGAATGGATAGTTACAAATTTGCAACCTCTTTATGTCTTGAAAAGGGAAAGCTTCATTAAATTTATTCATGTATTGAATCCATATTATGAACTTCCATCTGATAAACATGTAAAAACATTAATCTATCAAAATTATAATTATTCAATAGAATGTCTTAAAACTCTCTTTGCAACAGAAGTTAAAACGTGTGAATTGACATGCGATTTATGGACTGCATGTTCTAAAAGTGGATATATAGAAGTTACATGTTATTTTGTTAATTCTAATTACAAATTAAAAAAAGTTATGCTTGCAATTAAATATGTTCCATATCCTCATAATGCTGCAAGTATTAAAGCTGAATTAGAAAAGGTAATTAAGTACTGGGGGCTTTCTAAAAAAGTAACTTCAATTACTACTGATAATGCTGTTAACATAATTAAGGCTGTTAATTTAATGGAACATGTGGAGCAGATTCCTTGTATGGCCCATACACTTCAGCTCGCTATTGGTAAAGGGTTAAAATCTGCGGAAGTTTTAATAAAGCATACAAAAAGATTAATTAATTTTTTGGTTATGCCCAAACAAAATGAGCAATTACGAAAAGCACAAGAATTGTTAAAAATTTCAAAGGAAAAAATTGATAGTGATGAAAAAGAATTCCTTAGTACAATATCTGATACTCCCACTCGCTGGAATTCTTCATATTTTGCATGGAAAAGACTTCTTCAACTTAAACATGCTATTATATTAATGGATGCAACTATGAGTGCTGATAATGATTATAATATTCGCAAAGATGCAATCTGTTTAAAGTCCTTAATGATCACAGAAGAAGAATGAAAAATTCTTGATGAATTGACTATGCTTTTGGCCCCTTTTGCTGAAATTACAGAATTGCTCGGCGGTAGTAATTATTCCATGCTTAGCTTTATATAGCCAGCTATTATCACTCTTACTAAAAATTGTGAACTATTGTCGACAAGTATAAATGAAGAAGAACTTGATTTAATGAATATGGTAACTGTATTTGAAGAAGAGAAAGAGAATATAGTTGATTTGGATGAAGAATTAGAAATAATTGTTACAGCTAATAGAGATAAGTTCAAAATTAATCAACCTCAAAATGTAGATAATCTAGCAGAAAAAGTAAAGGAAAATTTATATAAAGCATTAAACCATTATTGGGATGCACCTCTTGATAGTTCTTTAATTGCAATGTTACTTGATCCACATTATAAATCAATGAAAAAATTGGATAGTTGGGAATGTAATAAGGCCATTAATGTTCTGCGAGATAAATACAATTCACTTAACACTGAGAATGAAACTGTTATTGACTTAGCAAATGTAGATCAAAATGAGAATCAGATGAATCTTTTTTCGATAATGTTTGGGTCAGATGCAATACAAACATCAAATAAAAATGAAATAGACAAATATCTTAAAGTTGATCAAATGCCAATTGCAACTAATCTGCTTAATTGGTGGAAAGATGTTCAAAAAAATTTTCCAATTCTTTCCAATTTGGCACGCAAATATTTGGCTACACCTTCTACATCAACTCCCAGTGAATGCTTATTTTCAAGTGCAGGTAATTTAATGACAGCAAAATGTACATCAATTAACACTGACTTATTTGAAAGAATTCTTTTTCTTAAACAAAATACCAGTATTCTGAGCACCATATCTGAGTTACAGTTGAAATAAAGTTTATTGTGAAGAGCATCAGGCACTGCTTAAACCTATTTTCCTTGATATTTCCTCCCTTACCTGTATTGAACTTTTCAAATAACTCCCTAAGTTCTGCATTTGAAATTCCATCTTTTTGAATGCGCTTGTGCTGAACAATATTATATATATATATATATATATTTTTTTTTTTTAAAAAAAAAAAAAACTTTATGTTATGTATTACCATTTATTTTATTAGTATTTTTATCTTATTTAGATAGAGTAAATCAAATTTGGCAGATATGACAAATTTGTTGGATCTAGTAAATTTATTGGGTCTAATAAATAAAGTGAATATATAACAAATTTGTCTTATTAAAAACATACACGATGGCATAAAGCCATAAAGGGCATTTAAATAAAAGCCGAATTTGAATACATTAGGCAGAAGTCATGCCAAATAAATCCTTGAAATAAAAGTAAATTGTTTGATGAACTTTGTCCCTGTGATTGTATTAAATCTTAATCCACAAGAGAGAAAAAGAGTAAAAATGTCATATTAATTAATCGAAAATACTATATATAATAAATTCAGTGATTAACTTGTGATCAGTATTGTCATCATTAATTTGAAACTGAATTGATCTGAATAAGAGTCAAAATCAATAATACGTCAAAATTGTAAGTGTAAATAAAGAAAGTACTTATCTTCAAGACCGTCTGGAAGTCTTGTAACTTTAGCAACAAGAACAAGTCCAAGAGCTCTAATAACTTGGACCAAGCCTTGATCAAACATGCTTGAAGCTTAAGTAATAGAAAAGTTCTTTCTGACTCTTAAACAGGCTTTCTATTCATACTATATATGTTACTCATATAAATATAGATTTATTTATAAAATTAAAAATTCGAATACAATTCAGATTAAAAACCGGATATTCAACAAATATCCGTTTATATATCTGGATTAGGAAATTTAAATCAGGATATATATCTGGATATCCGGTTTTATATCCAGATCCAAGCACTAATGTAGACAAGAACTGATATGGCTGTTTTTAAGTGTTGAGTTTGAGGTGAGTATAAGTTAGTTTTTCAGGATGTTGACAAAAAGTATCCTGAAAATTGTGATACTATTCTATTGATTAAGAAGTTATAATAAATTCTTCAAAATAAGGGAGTTATAGTTTCTTCTTGGTCTATACTATTTTTAACTGAATAAAGATCAGTAAGTCCAAGGTTGGATATAACATGGTTTTGGCAATCAGTAAGAAGATTAATAAGTATATTAATAAGAGATTAAGGCATTGATATACATTCAAGTGACTTAGTAAAAAGATTAAGGTTTACAGAGTTATATGCTTTGCTTATATCTTAAGACAAAAGCCAAAGTTGTTTGTTATTGCAACTAGCATCTTTAATAATATTGTTGAGTATATGTATAGAGATAGAAATACTATTGTCAGATAGAGCAATGTAGTTATAAGATGATAACAAAAGATGTTGGGTGAATATTAGGTTAAGATGATTAGTAAGAAGTTTGATTTATAGTTTTTTGATATGTTTAACTAGGCTGATAGGTTTTGTATTAGATAAGTTTCTATCAAAGATAGGTTTTTTTGATATTGGAAAAATATGACCTTCTTTCCATTGCTTGGGTATGCGGTTGGTTTGAATATAATGGTTGAAGAGAGCAGTTATTGATTGGAGAAAGGCAGGGCCAGCCTGTTTTAGTATTTCATAACTAATTCCAAATGGACCACATGCCTTATTGTTAGATAGCTAATTAAGGGTTGTAGCAATTTTATTTATTGAAAATTTAGCTAGGGCTGAATTGTAATAGTTTGGTCTAGTTGTAGTTTTGGGTTGATATTCTTCTGACTAATTAGAATTAAATTCATGAGTGTTAATAGGTCTGTAGGCAGTCCAGCTATCAAAATGTTGTTTAATTTGTTCTTTAATAAGTTTGGGGTCTGTTATTATATCATTTGGTGTTTTGATGTTGTTGATTTTTACAGGATCTTTGTAACAGTTAAGTATACTGTTGATCATTGCTTTGGGATTAATTTGGAGTTTGAAACATCAGTTAGTGATATGTTGGTTTATCTGATCTCGGATCTGCTTGATGTTTTCTATATTTCAGGCATGATAGAGAGTTTGTTATTCAGTTTTAGTATTAGTAATCCAGTTTGGTATAAGTTCATAGAGATTGGGTATAGGATCTATATTAAGATGATAGATTGAATTAAGGTATAGGATTGAAGAATTAAGGTGTATAGGTATTGGTATTGTGTTGGCTAAAAAAGATTTTACTTGTCTAATTATACTGTTAAGTTTTTTGAGACTTTGATAAAGTAAGGTAGATTTATTGGAAAATAAGTGTTGAAAGTTACGAATAGTAGATTTTTTGTTGGGAATACATTTAATAATTGCATTAATAATACTAGTTTGGATTTTGTGCCATGTAGTTTCTAGTGATTCAAAAGTTTGAATTAAGGTAGGAGTTTTGTTTGTATTAAGGTTATGAGTAACTTGGTCAGCAAAGGTTTTCTATTGCTCTTTGTTCATTGCTTTGTAATTGAAGATTCTTTGTTGAGTTTGGGTTGAATATCTGTTTTTGCCAATAAAGGCATGAGGAAAAGTCCAGGAGGATATAAGAATTTTGTAATCACTTTGAGTACAGTTTTCTGCATCATCTAAGTAGAATGAGTTGAGGTATTTAAGTAGAAGAAGGTAGGCCCAGATGTAGTCAATAGTACTATGATGTCTACTACTGTGCCAGGTATAAGAAGAAGTATTTGTATGGTCTGCCAAGTTGTAGATATTATTGTATTGTAAAAATTGCAATAATTTGTATTTGATAGATAAAGAAAT